GATAGGTTGAGGCTCTGTCTCAAAAAAAAATAAATAAATAAAAATAAAGACACCAATCATATTACATTGGAGCCCAACTTTATGACCTGGTTTAACCTTAATTTCCTCCATAGAGTCCCTATCACCATATATAGTCACACTGAGGAATATGAGTTTAACATAAGAATTTTGGTGAAACACAATTCAGTCCATAAATGCCAAACTATTCTCCAAAATACTTTTCCCAATCTATATATATACTAGTGGTAGTTTATGCTATTCACTAATTACTTCAGTTCTAACAATGCTTGAAAGTGTCAGAGTTACTGAGTTTTGCAAACCTCATTAATTTTGTTTTAATTTGCACTTTTCTTACGGCCAAAAAGCTGAATGGACTCTTTTTATTTTTCTTTAGATTTTTGTCTGTCTTTTGTAATTTTAATCTGTAATGACTATATAAAAGTTTTTTAGTCTTTGATTTGAGCTCTTTCCTTAATTTGTAGAACTTAGTAAATGTATTTATTCCTGTATACCAGCTCTGTCAATTACAGAAGGTTCTTTTTTTTTTTTTTTTTTGTTTTGCAGTTTTTGGCTGGGACTGGGTTTGAACCCGGCACCTCCTCTATATGGGGCTGGCGCCCTACTCCTTTGAGCCACAGGTGCTGCCCATATCTTCTTAAGGATGTGCTTGTCATTTCAATTTTATATTTTATAATAGAAGACAGTTATTTTGATATAGTTGATGTACATGTTGTGATACCTTTTTGTGTTTGGTTTCAGAAATTCTACTCTATCCCATTACAAATACATTTTCTCTATGACCTCTGAAGAGATATAATTATTTTCTTTCCATTTAAGCTTTATTCATATGAAACTAACTTTTTGCATGATTAAAAGCAAAAGTGAAAAATAACATTTCACTAATTGGATATCTATCAATCCAGGCATTTTTTTTTTAAGTGGCCATTTTCCACTATCCTGTAACACCACCACAGCTACAAATCAAGAATCTAAACATCTGCATATCAGCTTACAAGTTTTATTCTGCCATTTAAAACTGGAATTATATGTCACTATGCCAGTAATAATTATTATAAGCACCTCACTTTATCACCCCCAAACACTGGTGTTTTAGTATGATCTCTTAGTTATTTTACCTTGCAACACCTGCAAGAATGCCAAGCTAATAATTAATACTCTCAACAATCAATTTCTGTTATTTAATTTTTATTTTTAAATTTCAGCCAATAATGAAACATAGAAAGTTATTTGGTTAATTTTTATTTCTCATATTATTATTTATTATTATTTTGAGGGATAGACTCATTCTGTCACCCTGGGTAGAGTGCTTAGGCGTCTTAGCTCACAGCAAACTCAAATTCTTGGGCACAAGTAATCTCCTTGTCTCAGCCTCCCGAGTAGTGTTTTGAATTTTATTTACTTAGTTTCTCTTATTTCAGGATCGCCTCCAAACTTTTGTTCTTAGCAGTCTCCATATAGAAAACATTGAGAAAAACAAAATTAAGGGCTCCGCGCCTGTGGTTCAAGCGGCTAAGGCGCCAGGCACATACACCTGAGCTGGCGGGTTCGAATCCAGCCTGGGCCGGCCAAACAACAATGACGGCTGCAACCAAAAAAAAAAAAAAAAAAATAGCCGGGCGTTTGGCAGGCGCCTGTAATGCCAGGTACTTGGGAGGTGGAGGCTCTGGGAGAATCGCTTGAGCCTAGAAGTTGGAGGTTGCTGTGAGCTGTGATGCCACAGTACTCTACCCCAAAACAGTATACACGATAGGATTATACTGATCTAAAGTTCGATGTGATTTTTTTCTTGTCTCCCGCCCCGTCCCCGCCCCCACACCGCTCCCCGCTGGACCCACTTGGCTAATGCCTCAGGGGTTCTCAGGGAGAGGAGAGGGAGCCTCAGAGCCTAATCGCTCAGCAGCCCCTAGCATGGTAAGAACTCATTACCCAGAATACTGTGCGCGAGCGCCTCCCGGCCTTGAACCAATGAGGACCCAGTAGAGAATCGTTTCTGCGAGTGCGCGGTACGTCGGGGCGAGACTTCCGGCGTCTTCCAGGAGGTGGTCCTTTTGGCTGCTTTTGATTGTATCGGTAAGACTGGAGGCTCCTAGTGGTTGGCCCCGGCCCCAGTAACTAGATCCGGAAAGGGAAAGAGGCGGCCTTGGAGGAGCCGCTCTAGGATTCGGTCTGAACGTCACCGGGGTGATTTGCTTCGGGACGCCCCTCCCGGATCTCCGACCTCGTTATCTGCCCATGGGCTGCTATGGCTGCGAGTGAGCTGGTGAATCTGCCACAGGTTAGTGTTGTATTTCCTGGCCCTCCCTTAGATTATAAAGTCCCTGACCAGATCGCTGTACTTCAGGCCCTTTTCTAGAACAGTGAGGCGCTGGTGAGGGAGGGGGTGTTCCAGTCTGAGGGCCGATGTGCTGAAGGGGGCAGAAGTTGCACATGGTGGGAACTGCATTCTCAAACTTTTGGAAGTGCCCGGAGCAGAGACCATGTGGGAAACCTGGGGCTCTACTCGTATCTACAGAGAATGTGGGAATCACGCCTTTTGTGACATACTAAACTGCGGAGCCTTCTTCGGTCTGAGCCTTTTAGGAGCCACGGAGGGTTGGCCGCCCAGAGGAGAACAGACTGGGTTAGGGGATGATAACGGGGGAAGCGAGGATACCAGTAAGGAAGCCACTGTAATAGACTTCAAGATAATTATGGTGGATTCTGAACCAAACGATGGCAGATGAGACACAAATAGTAATGTTGATAGATCTAAAAGCCAGCAGGATTCTTTTTTTTTTTTTTTTTTTTTTTAGATAGAGTCTCAAGCTGTCGCCCAGCAACCTCAAACTCCTGGGCTTAAGCGATTCTCTTGCCTTAGCCTCCCAAGTAGCTGGGACTACAGGCACTCACCACAACGCCTGGCTAATTGTTGTTGCTGTTGTTGTTGCAGTTGTCATTGTTACTTTAGTTGGCCCGGGCTGGGTTTGAACTCTGCAGCCTTGGTGGGCGCCCTACTCACTAAGCTATGAGCGCTGCCAGCCAGCAGGATTTATTTATGTTATTATTTGTGCTTGTGAGCAAATGTGGGAGTGAAGTATGATGCCAAATTCTATTGACCTGAACATCTGAAAGAATTGAGAAGGGCATCTGGTGAGGCAGCAGTTTTCAGGGAGAGACTGGGAATTGAAATGTCATTCGAAAATGTCCCAGAGTGCAGTTACACGAGCAGCTGGAATCAAGTAGGGAATTCAGGAGAGGGGCCTAGCTAAGTGATGTACGTGTATAAATGATGACAGACTGTGGCATTTAAGATTTTACTTTGAGATGAAGGAAAGGAGGGCTGAAGTTGGAGGGTGGATTTGGGGTAGAGGAGAAGTCCTTGGGGGTTCCAAGGATTCCTCTTGTGGAAGGAGGAAGGAGCCCCGCATAGGATGGATTTGACAAGGCTGAAGGGCTGTGTGACTCACCATTCTGAAGACCTAGCAGATTGTTCAGTTCCTGTGGAACCAGGAAAAGGTCAGTGAGACTAGTGGAGCAGCCCAGGCCCAACAAGGGCACTGGTGCCTCTGCTCTCCCAGGAAAATACAAGTTTAAATTGTATAGATTTAGTAAATTAAATTTATGCAAGCAATTAGCAACTGATTGAAATGACAGTATGCTTCTATGCTCTAATAAAAGTATATATACTGTATTTCTTGGCATGCACTTCCTGGCAAAGAATTTCTAAAATCTTTGTAATTTCCTCAGGAGAAAGGTGTCTTGTTATTCATTACAAGCCCTTTTCAATAATGTAGCCACATTCTACATAATGATATCAACTGCATATACCATTTTTTTTTTTTTTTGAGATAGAGTCTCACTATGTCTCCCTCAGTAGAGTCCTGTAGCATCACAGCTCACAGCAACCTCAAACTCCTGGGCTTAAGCAATTCTCTTGCCTCAGCCTCCCGACTAGCTGGGACTACAGGCACCTGCCACAACGCCCAGCTATTTTTTGTTGCAGTTTGGCTGGGGCTGGGTTTGAACCTGCCACCCTTGGTATATGAAGCCGGCGCCCTACCCACTGAGCCACAGGTGCCACCTGATACACAGATATTTAATAGTATGTTTAAATTGCCTGTGGTATTCAGTACAGTAACATGCTGTATGTATTTGCAGCTTATGAGCAGTGGGCACATAGTCGAGATGTGTAGTAGGCTGTCCCATCTATTAATAGGTTTGTGTAAATGTGTTCTATCATTTGGGCACAATGACGAAATTGCCTAATTATGCATTTCTCAGAACATAGCCCCCCTTATCCTCTATTCCAAGAACTCCAATGGATGCCTGAAACTAGATAGTACGGAACCCTGTACTATCTATGCATGCATACGTACAGTAAAGTTCACTTTATAAATTAGTCACAGCATGTTAATAGTAACTAATAGTATAGAACAATTATAAATTATATAAATGTGGTGTCTCTTTTCCTCTCAGAATATTTTATGTTTTGTACTCACCCTTCTTACAAGAGGTAGAACTGAATGGCACCAGATTTCTTTACACTACTTAAAATTGTACACAATTTAAAACTAATGAACTTTGGGCTCTGCACCTGTAGCTCAGTGGTTAGGGCCACATACACTGGGGCTGGTGGGTTTTAACCCAGTCCAGACCTGCTAAACAACAATGATAACTACAACCAAAAAAATAGCCAGGCGTTGTGGCAGGCACCCATAAGTCCCAGCTACTTGGGAGGCTGAGGCCAGAGAATGGCTTATGCCTAAGAGTTTGAGGTTGCTGTGAGCTGTGATGCCACGACACTCTGCTGATGGCGACATACTAAGATTCTGTCTCAAAAATAAATAAATCTTATGAATTGTTTATTACTGGTATTTTTCATTTAATATTTCTCACCAAGATCATGTAGGATAAAGGGAAACTACCTCTTTCCCCTAAATGTTCACCCCATAATTAAGGCAGATTAACAAGAAGAGGTTTATCATGCATACAAGGAGAATCATGGAGTAATTACCCACTCTCCCAGTGGGATCCAGATATTTTTATATCATCTTTTTAGAGGGGAGGGAGAGATAAGCAATATAAGTAATTCTGTTTAGGGGCAATAATGGTTGCTAGGGAAGATGAATTAATGGCAGTAGATTGACTTGTAACTAATTCTGCACAAATTAAACTGAGAGGTATTTAAAATTATTTAGGCCAGATCTGATTGCATTTTGGTTCATATTTTTCTTCAATACATTGAGATAACAGGGGAAGGGAAGTCAATTCTTTTTGATGGGTCAGTCCCATTTATGCAGAAAGAGGGAAAACTCTTTCCAATGCCTATTGGTCTCAGAGGGCCTTTAGTTCAAAATTTTTTATACCAAGGAGACATATTTTGGAGTGAAATTTCCTGAGCTCCTGAATTGACTGTGGGTAACTGAAACTACAGATACTAAAATCACAGATAAAGGAGACCACTGTGCTTGGGTTTTATGAGATGGCTTAGGGTGAGAAGACTTGGAATGGGATCTCTAGATAGCCTCAAAGTGGAGCTGGTCACTGAATATACCAAGTGATTATAGGATTTGAACTTTTAGCCCTACCTCTGGCTTCCAGGGAGAAGAGGGGAACTGGAGATTAGGTTAGATAAAATCTTGAACAATGAGATTCAGGAAACTTGCAAATTGTGAACACTTGGAAATGTGACTTATCCACAGAGGGCATGGAAGCACCCTGCCATCCCCTTCTCCCAGCCTTGCTATATACATCTCTTAACATTTAGCAGTTCCTGAGTTGTATCCTTTATATTACAATAAACCAGTAGACATAAGTATTTGCCTGAGTTCTGTGAGTAGTTCTAGTTAATGATGGAACCTAAGGTCTTGGCAACTCCCAAATTTGTAGACAAGTTGGACAGAATTACAGTGACCTGCATATTGACTAGCAATTGGCATCTGAAGTAAGGGTAGTTTTGTATGACTGAGCCTTTAAATCTGTTGGTTCAGATGCTAACTCCAGGTAGTTAGTACCAGAATAGAATTGAATTATAGGATACCGACTTGTTACGAAAGAATCAGAGAATTGGTGTCGGAAAAGACACTACATATTTTAGTGTCAGAAAGAGAATCATAGAAATTTCTAATTTTTAATGAAGAATCACATTTGCACAAAGCCTCAAATGACAGGTCAGAAACACCCAAATTTTCAAAATCTTTTATAGAAATTTTAATCCTGTGGTTAGTAACAGCTAAATCTTAGCATTGGACATACAGTAATGAGTTTGATGCCTATGACAACACTATGAGGTGGCTACCATAAGTGTTTCCACTTCATAGATGAAGATACTCTCAGGTTAGGTCTTTCTCCAGTGTGACACAATGACAAGAGGTATGCTGAGGACTGTGGATCTGAGGCTATATACATGTCAGCCTGAGGTCACCCTTCTCTAGGACAAAATGGGGAAATGAGTCTTGCCTTTGTAAATACCACCATGATCACCTTTATCTCATAGCCTCCATCTTCCCACAGAGTCCCATGGCAACAAAAGGGAATTTGGAACCATCACAGGTAAGTCAAAGAAGTTCCAGGTTCTCACCAACCCTGATCCTTTCACCATGGATCCTAGTGATACAAGTGATACTGGTATCTTGGGACTCTTTGTCTTTAGTCCTTGGGCCCTGGAGTCACATCTAGCCCAGCATCCTTAATCACGGACAGCAGTCTTAAAGAGATGCTTCCATTTCTACTAGGATGAAATGATGAAAGGTTTCCTGAGCACAGGAATCACATGTCAAAATGCTCACAGGTGAGAATGATGTGGGCATGTTTAGGGAACTGCAAGTCTCCATTATATTTGCTGAGGACAAAGAAGAAAAGGCAGGAGTCCATCCTGGCCGAGCAGGTTGAGGAGCAAAGGCTTCTATTGAGGGCAGTGGGAAGAGTGGAAGGGTGTGGAGCAGAAGAGGGAAGTGATATGACTCAGGTCTAAACAAACTCCTCTGTTAGTTAAGTGGGTAACAGTGGGGTGAGCATGGAAATCACTGTGACATTCTGGGTATTAATGATAGCTGGATCAGAGCAGTAACTATGAAGTTGGGAGAAGATGGTATTTCTCGTACTGTTTTGTAAATAGGGACAATTTTCTGTTGGGCATGGTGAGAGAGAGAAGTCAGGAATGACCTCAAGATTTTTGGCTTTAGCAGGTGAAAGTGTGGAAGTGACATGTACTGAAGTGGAAAATGAATGGTTAGGTTAGGAGTAACAAAAGTTACTATAGTGAGATTTCTCTTTATTTTTAATCTTTTAACTTTTTTTATTAAATTATTAGGTTCACAGTAAAATTGAGAGGAAAATACAGGGATTTCCCAGATGCCCCTGTCCCTACATATACATACTCCTCCTCATTCTTAATATCCCCACCACAGTGTAGTCCATTTATTATAATTTTTTTTTGAGACAGTCTCACTCTGTTGCCTTCAGTAGAGTGCTATGGTGTCATAGCTCACAGCAATCTCAAACTCTTGGGCTCAAGAGATCTCCTGCCCGCCTCTTAAGGAGCTGGGACTATAGGCGCCCAGCACAATACCTAGCTATTTTTACAGACAGGGTCTCCCACTTGCTCAGGCTGGTCTCAAACTCCTGAGCTCAAGCAATCCACCCACCTCAGCCTCCCAGAGTGTTAGGATTATAGTCATGAGCCACCGCACCCAGTCTCATTTATTATAATTGACAAACTTGTTTTTTGTCCTGCCAAATACATGGCTGGAGTCACCCCATATCCACAAAGGATTATCTGAAACCTCCAGAGTGGTCAAGGTACTCTGTGATTTTAAGTCAGGATGCAAAAAGTGTGTGTGTGTGGGGGGGGGTCTGTAGGACACTACAAACCCACATTGACTCACTATAATAACCCAAAGTTCATCATTTACCTTAGGGTTCACTCTTGTTGTGTATAATATGGGTTAGATAAACATATAAAGACATGTCTATCATTATAGTATCCTGCAGAGTATTTTTGTTGCCCTAAAAATTCCCTGCACTCCACCTATTTATCCTTTCCATCCTCCACCCCAACCCAAGCAACCACTGATCTTTTTATTGTCTCCATAGTTTTGACTTTCCTGGAATGTCATATAGTTGGATCATACAATATGCAGCCTTTTCAGATTGGCTTCTTTCATTTAGTAATATATATTTAAGGTTTTTATGGCTTGACAGCTCATTTCTTTTTAGCACTAAGTAATGTTTCACTGTCTGGATGTACCAGTCAGGTATCCATTTATCTACTAAAGGACATCTTGGTTGTTTCCAAGTTTTTGCAATTACGAATATAGCAGTTGTAAGCATCCATGTCCAGATTTTGTGTGGACAAAAGTTTTTAACTCCTTTTGGTAAAAAACCAAAGAGCACCATTGCTGAATCTTAACAGTAAGGATGTGCTCAGTTTTATAAGACACTGGGAAACTGTCTAAGTGACTTTCCATTTTGCACCTATACAAGTAGTGAATGAGAGTTCCTGTTGTTCTATATCCTGGTCTGCTGGAAGCACAAGGGTACTTTTTCTGGTATTTATCACGAGAACCTGGTCAATTTCCTAAAGGATAATATTTCAAGATTGTAGGGCCACCACATCACTGAATTCCCTGGAATTGTCCACACAGCCTCCAGCAATTTGTGAATTTTAGTTCAGATTTTCTTAATCTGGCACTGGTTCCCTTGGTTTCTTTTGACGTGTCTCTATTTCAGTAAGCCTTGACCCTTTACTTAATTTATTAAGTAAGTTTACTTAATAAATTAAATAAATTTAATTTATTAAGTAAATTTAATCATTTAATTAATTTAAAATAATTAAATTTAAAAATTAATTAATTAATTTTGAGACAGAGTCTCAAGCTGTCGCCCTGTGTAGAGTGCTGTGACATCACAGTTCACAGCAACCTCAAACTCTTGGGCTTAGGCAGTTCTCTTGCCTCAGTCTCCCAGGTGGCTGGGAATACAGGCACCCACCACAGCACTTTTTGTTGCAGTTGTCATTGTTGTTTAGCCGGCCTGGGCCGGGCTTAAACCCACCAGCCTCAGTGCATGTGGCTGGAGCCATAACCACTGTGCTATGGACACTGAGCCTATTTACTTGTCTTTCTCCAATCTTGGGGGCAGTAGTTTGTCTTGTGTTCTTACCTTTTTTTTTTTTTTTTTTTTGAGACAGAGCCTCAAGCTGTCCCCCTGGGCAGAGTGCCGTGGCATTACAGCTCACAGCAACCTCCAACTCCTGGGCTTAGGCGATTCTCTTGCCTCCGCCTCCCAAGTAGCTGGGACCACAGGCGCCCGCCACAACGCCCGGCTATTTTTTGGTTGCAGCCGTCATTGTTGTTTGGCGGGTCCGGGCTGGGGATTTGAACCCGCCACCTTAGGTGTACGTGGCTGGCGCCTTAGCCGGTTGAGCTATAGGCGCCGAGCCTGTTCTTACCTTTTTTATGGATCCTAGAAAAGTTGTTCATTTTTTAGTCAGTTCAACTATTTACTTGTAGTCATGAGGGAATGACAACATCAAGCTCCTTGCAGAACAAGAAACCAGAAGTCCAGGAGTTAGATTTTCATGACATGGAGTCTCATGTTTGGAGACTTGTGATGTCAAGTGCACAGCAAGAGACAGACATAGGACATTCAAGGAAGTGATTCAGGTGAAAGCTACCCACCTGCTGATAGCTGACACATGGACGATGGATGATGGCAGATTTAAGAGGGGGGCTCTTTTTTTTTCTTTGAGACAGGAGCCTCAAGCTGTCCCCGTGGGCAGAGTGCCGTAGCATCACAGCTCACAGCAACCTCCAACTCCTGGGCTCAAGCAAGTCTCCTGCCTCAGCCTCCCAGGTAGCTAGGACCACAGGCACCCGCCATAATGCCCGGATATTTTTTTGGTTGCAACTGTCATTGTTGTTTGGCGGGCCCGGGCTGGATTCGAACCCGCCACCTTGGGTGTACGCAGCTGGCGCCTTAGCCACTTGAGCCACAGGTGCCAAGCCAAGAGGGGGGCTCTTTATGCCATGGTGGCAATGCCATCACAGGGGAGGATGAGGAACATATTCTCCATTGACTTGGTCTCTTGCATAGTCCCCTGGAGAGAGGTGGGAGTCATGAGGGACAGCAGTGACCATGTGGTTGGGGGTGGGGAATGTCCAGCTGGTAGCACAAGCTTTAAATGGGAAGAGTTAAGAGACTGATTCAGGTTCATCACCTGCAGCTCAGCCACTAGGGGGCCAGCCACATACACTGGAGCTGGTGGGTTAAAACCCAGCCCTAGCCTGCCAAACAATGACAGCTACAACAAAAATGTAGCAGGGCGTTTGGTGGGTGTCTATAGTCCTACCTACTTGGGAGGCTGAGACAAGAGAATTGCTTAAGCCCAGGAGTTTGAGGTTGCGTTGAGCTGTGATGCCACAGCACTCTACTGAGGGCAACATAGTAAGACTCTGTCTCAAAAAAAAATATAAAAAGGCTCCATGCCTGTGGCTCAAATGGCTAAGGTGCCAGCCACATACACCTGAGCTGGCAGGTTCAAATCCAGCCCAGGCCCACGAAACAACAATGATGGCTGCAATCAAAAAAATAACTGGGTGTTGTGGCAAGTACCTGTAGTCCCAGCTACTTGGGAGGCAGAGACAGGAGAATCGCTTGAGTCCAGGAGTTGGAGGTTGCTGTGTGCTGTGATGTCACAGTACTCTACCCAGGGTGACAGCTTGAGGCTCTGTCTCCACAAAAAAAAAAAAGAGAGATTGATTCAGAGGCAAAGCAATAATGGAGGTCATATGACACCGAGTACAGGCTGGTGCTTTATCTCCTCTCTGCTGGCTTAGACTTTTGTTTTTGTTTTTTTAGAGACAGAGTCTTTATCACTCTAGGTAGAGTGCTGTGGCGTCACAGCTCACAGCAACCTCCAACTCCTGGGCTTAGGCGATTCTCCTGAGTCAGCCTCCTGAGCAGCTGGGACCACAGGCACCTGCCACAATGCCTGGCTATTTTTTTTTGTTGTAGTTTGGCTGGGGCCAAGTTTGAACCCGTCACCCTCAGTATATGGAGCTGGTGCCCTACCCACTGAGCCCTGGCTCCGACTTTGTAACAATTCTTAGTGGAACCTGGGAGTTTCAGACAGGATGACAGATTAGGTTAGGTGCTAATGAGATCAACTGGTGATGCCATTTAGCCTGTGGTGGGAGCAGGTGAGGACAGGGTTTTGATTATGTATAGGTGGAGAGAGAAAAGATGTGCCTAGTGTTGAGACAGCATAGGTGACACTGAATGGGAGGAGGGATTAGGCTTCCTAAATTCACACAAAGTCTGGGTAGCTGAAATTGGAATAAGGGGTCAGGCCACCGGGGAAGGTCTTTATAATAGTGCTTGGGTACAACAGAGGTGTGGCGTAGTGGTAGGTCCTGGTTGCACTTGGCAAGTATTACCTGGGTCCCTTGAGCAGAGCAGCATGTATGGAAGCCTGTGTCATGGATTCAGAGAGTAGAATTGGTGTTAAGGTTGTGACAGTCATGGTCTGGAGATGGGAAGGAACTGTGGTCCCAAGAGTGATGTGCAAGTGGGGAGGGAGTGTGAGTGTATTCAGGGTCCCTGTGCTCAGAATTCAAGCTGGGAGGGTGAGCACAAGTTCGGGTGTATGTGGCATGATCTGAGTCTCCAGGGAAATTGACAAGCAGGAACATGAGTGAGATTCTACATTCCAGGCTCAGAGCTAAGTTGGCACCACCACTCTCCCCAGGTGGCAGTGATGGCTGGAGATAGTGATCAGTGGGACACGAGGAGATGTCAGGTAGCTGTGGCATGAGGAACTGGTATTGCCCTTGAATTCAGAATAGGAAGGAGGGAGATTTACTGGGGGTTCTGGGGATTGAGTCTACTCATGAACTCACTTTCCTCTATCATAACAGAGCCATGTGACCTTTGAGGATATTGTGGTGTACTTCTCCCAGGAGGAGTGGCAGCTCCTTGATGAAGCTCAGAGGTGTCTATATCACAACATAATGCTGGAGAACTTTGCACTTTTGGCCTCAGTGGGTAAGATCCCCCAAAACCACAACATTGACCTATGCTAGCCTCTACTCTTCCCCTTTTTCCAGAGGTCACCCTGTCTTTCCAAGTTGGATCATGGGCTCTGCTTCCTTCCTGACTTTAAGTGCTGACTCCTGACTTAAGTGCTGTGTTTACTGGCCCTGATCTTTTTGCAGCCCTAATATCTACTGTTCCAAAGCTTTTTATTTTTAGTTAAGAGTTTGGGTTCAGAGTCTTCCAGCCTGTGCTACTGATACCACATGCTTTTCCCCTGCCTTGCTATGGTGACTTCTGTGGCAGACCTGTGTCACAATATCTTCTCATGTCTTTAGCAGAATTTTTTGGGACCTCCCTATTTCAGGAATTAACAAGCACTTACATGGGAACACTAGACCAACAGCAAGTTTTTTTTTTTTTTTTTTGAGACAGAGCCTCAAGCTGTCCCCCTGGGTAGAGTGCTATGGCATCAGAGCTCACAGCAACCTCCAACTCCTGGGCTCAAGCGAGTCTACTGCCTCAGCCTCCCAAGTAGCTGGGACCACAGGCGCCCACCACAATGCCTGGCTATTTTTTGGTTGCAGCCGTTATTGTTTGGCAGCTCCGGCTGGATTTAAACCCAACACCTTAGGTGTATGTGGCTGGCGCCCCAGCCACTTGAGCCACAGGCACCGAGCCAGCAAGGTTCTTTTGTAACAGATTTCTGTCCAAGAGTCTGTCATAGGTTGGGCACTCAAGGTCAATGTTGTTTACTCAATTACTTGTTTTCCCTTTAGGATTTTACCTTCTAGGTCCCAGACAGTCTCCTTCCCAAAGCTGAGGACAGGAGAAAGCCTTATATTCTGACAGGGTGGAAAAGTCTCCAGCCATAACAAGAGGAATTAGAGAATCTGGGGCCTTATGAGGTAGAACAGTGGGAGGGTAGCATTTAATGCTAAGATCAAATCATTCCAGGCAAATGTCCTGTGCTCACCAATATCTTGGTGCCAGGGCTCATGGTCATACCTCATTTTTGTTTTTCCTCTGCCTACTTGACATTTTGCCCACTTGTCATTTCTACTGTGACTTCTAACCCCTGCCTTTTCCCTACCTCTTCTGACTCCCACATCTGTCCAGTTCCTCTCCTTCTGCACTGCTCTCCAATATTAGCCCACACTGAATGTACCATGAGATGTTCATATACAGATGCTTCTCATCTTATAATGGGGTTATGTCCCAATAAACCCATCATTAAGTTGAAAATATCCTAAGTGAAATGCTTTTAATATACCTAACCTCATGAACACATTGGCCGGGCTACTTCTACATGGCAAGACAGTATCACACTGTGTGTCACTAGCCAGGATAAGTTTATTTTTTAAATTTTTTTTTGCAGTTTTTGGCTGGGGCTGGGCCTGAACTTGCCACCTCTGGCATATGGGGCCGGTGCCCTACTCCTTTGAGCCACAGGCGCCACCCCAGGAAAAGTTTAAAATTCAAAGTATGGTTTCTACTAACTGCCTATCACTTTTGGATCATCATAAAGTTGAAAGATCTTAAGTCAGACCATTTTAAATCAAACACTGGCTACCCAGTTGCTTTGTATTTCTCTGGGGTGACATACATTGTACACAGGTCTCGTGTGTCTCCATAGAAAAGATCCTCCTGAAAACTACTGACAGAGGGGCAGCACCTGTGGCTCAAGGAGTAGGGCACTGGCCCCATATGCCGGAGGTGGCAGGTTCAAACCCAGCCTCGGCCAAAAAAAAAAGAAAACTACTCACAGAAATGTGAGTTATAGACTCTGCGTCTCTTTCTACTACAGCACTTTGTTCCTTGTTTTCTGGTTGGTTGTGGGCCCTCCTCTACATTGTAACTTCTAGAGGCCCAGTACTACAAGTATTGTCTTCCTTGGGCTGACCTCCGCTCCTGTGCCCTGAAAACACACTCATGGACTCAATTCCTGTCTGTGTCATACAAGTATATGTATGCCAAAGTTTTCATACATTTTACCCACATTTTTGTGCTTTCAGGTTGTTGCCATGGAGTAGAGGCTGTGGAGGCCCCTCTTGAGCACACTGCTTCCATAGGAATGTCACAGGCCAGGATTCCAAAGCCAGGTTCTGCCATCTCAAATGCCCACCCCTGTGAGATGTGTATCCTGGCCATGAAAGACATTTTGTACCTGGCTGCACATGAGGGAGCACTTCCTGGGCAGAAACCATATGTTAGTATGGCATATGAGAAATACTTTTCATTTGATTTGAACCTACACCAGAACCAGAACCAATGCAGCAGAGATGAACACATCAGAACAGAGGAAAATAGGGCCTTGCTAGTAAATACCTACAAAATCCCCATGTTGGGCAACCATTTTACATGCAAAGATGTTGAGAAAGATTTCCTAGTCAGCCTGGGCTTTCTCCAACACCAGAACACCCACACTGAAGACTATCCACATAGAAGCAGGGATACCTTTCACACTCAGCAAAGGCATTACAAATGTAACAAATGTGAACAAGTTTTCAATGAGAAGGTTCATGTCTTTGAGCATCAACAAGTTCATAATGGAGGAAAAGCTTATAAACATAGTAGTGAATGTGGGAAATCCTTGAGCTGTAACTACTCGCTTGTTCAGCATCAGAAAAGCCATAATGGGGAAAAGCCTTATGTGTGTAATGTGTGCGGGAAATCTTTCCTCCACAAACAAACACTTGTTGGGCACCAGCAGAGAATTCATACTGGAGAAAGGTCTTATGTATGCACGGAATGTGGGAAATCCCTAAGCTCCAAATACTCCCTTATTGAACACCAGAGAACCCATAATGGAGAAAAGCCTTATGTATGCAATGTGTGTGGGAAATCGTTCCGCCACAAACAAACATTTGTTGGGCATCAGCAGAGAATCCACAGTGGAGAAAGGCCGTATGTATGCACTGAATGTGGAAAATCCTTTATCCAATCCTCTGACCACATTCGACACCAGAGAATTCACACTGGAGAAAGGGCTTATGTGTGCAATGAATGTGGAAAATCCTTTATCTACAAACAGTCACTTCTTGATCACCAGAGAATCCATACTGGAGAAAGGCCTTATGAATGCAATGAATGTGGGAAAGCTTTCATCCACAAAAAAAGACTTCTTGAGCACCAGAGGATCCACACTGGAGAAAAGCCTTATGTGTGTGTCAAATGTGGAAAATCATTTATTCGATCCTCTGACTACATACGACACCAGAAAATTCACACTGGAGAAAGGGCTTATGAGTGCAGTGAATGTGGGAAAACCTTCATCTGCAAACAAACACTTCTTAAGCACCACAAAATCCACACTAGGGAAAGGCCTTATGAATGCCATGAATGCAGGAAAGGCTTCTACCTCGAAGATAAACTTCTTCAACACCAAAGAATCCACATTAGAGAACAACTTTATGAATGCAATGAATGTGGGAAAGCCTTCAACGACAAAAAAAGACTTCTGGAGCACCAGAAAGTTCATACTGGAGAAAAGCCCTGTGAGTGTAGTGAATGTGGAAAGTGCTTTAGACACTATTCCAGCCTCATTCAACATCAGAAAGTTCATACTGGAGAGAGGCCTCATAAGTGCAGTGCATGTGAGAAGTCCTTCATCTACAAAAACAAACTTGTAGAACATCAGAGAATCCACACTGGAGAAAAACCATATGAATGCAGCAAATGTGGGAAAGCCTTCAACAAAAGGTATTCCCTTGTCAGGCACCAGAAAGTTCATACAAGAGAAAAGCCTTAGCCATTGGTGGGATGTGCAGTTGATTACCTTGTTCACCGTAACACCAGAGAGATTTCTCAAGGTATTCATCAGACAGAAGTTGAACCTCACACATCTGAAGATCAACAGTTGGACAGACAATTCACTATGAGGAAGCTTTCTGGAGCTAACTTCTGCTTTCTTATCTTGCCAGCATTGCAGCAGACACTATAATGTGGCATAGCTCCATAGTGTCCATCAACCAGTTGTGTTGAAGGTATGCAGACCTTTGTGTCTCACCAAATTCTGAAGGGGACTGTGAATAATGTGAGCTTATTGGGGGTCTTCCCCCAATCTGCTGAACTATTCAAGGCATACATAGGACCTAGCTTTGGCCAAGAAAAGCTGTCTAGGTTCTAGTAGCCTATGGATATTTACCTTTTTCATAAGTACCTTTTTTTTTCTAATGTGATTGCCATGGTAGGGCTTTCCTTACTCTACCAAAGAGAGAAATGGTACATCACACAATTTATTGATGTTTGTACTAAACATCTTACTTAAACTACCTTTAAGCTTGAAAGTTGTTTGTACTGTGTGGGTTGGATTTAGAACAGAATTGTTTACCCCAGTGCAAAGGGTAAACAGCTTTTGTGGGAACCCCAACTTTATGTGCCTCCAGAAGAGCATGGGATGATATTAAACTAATTCTTAGTCATATCTGTCTTAATCTTTATTGCTTTCCAATGTCCCCTGGGAAAGACAGCAGAGGTGTGAATCCTCAATTACTTGATGTGGCTGCCAAATTTGTAGGTCCTGATAGAGGTCTCCCTGAGAAGAGGCATTTGTGATAAACTCAAGAAGTATTAGAGTCTTGATGAATTGTATCTTAGATCCCAGTGATGCCGTACATTTCCTAGCATTGGTCATGGGAAGCTATTTCCCACATCCTTCAGGGTTTTCAGAGAAGACAGAGAGTGAAATCTTCAAGAGTCCACTCTCCTTCCCCCAAAAAACTGCACTCTGTCCTGGAAATATAATATTCTTAACTTATCAGGAATTACATTCATTATATGTGTATAAAGCACAAAAAAGATGCATGCCTACTACAAAAACATGAAGTACATATGTGGTCTTTTAAAAGTATCCAAGGAAAAATCAGTGAGGAAATGATTATATTTTTCACACAATACATGTATTTTTATGTAGCTTGAAAACTAACTTAAAGAAAATTCCATAGGAAAATTACTACATTTAATACCAGCACCAAGTGAATAAGTCTAAGGTGATTAAATGTGAAACCCACACAAACCTGCATAAACACATCCTGATTCACTTGTTAATACACTAGGTATTTTATTTTATAGCAAAACTTTACACAAACTTTTATTTATAAGGTCAGACAATGAGATTCTTCTCCATGTTTGATTTCCTGGGTTTATCATTAATTTACCTTGGTTATATTTTATTTTGCTTGTTTTATCTATAACCTAATCCCTACAAAATTGGTTGGGGGGACTATGAAATGCCTCTTTACACATGATTAAAGAACCTGAGAAACACCAGGAAGAAGAAAAAATTGGGACTCACCTGAGAAGAGCAAACAAGGTGATCAACATGCTGTTAGAGAAAATAAAACAAATAGAATGGAATCAGGAACAAAAGTGAGGGTATTGTGCATTTAAAAACATATTAATAAGGGGAGTTTTAAATAAAAATCAAGGCCTTAAACAGTTTTAAGTGGTACACATTTTAATTTGGCTATCCATATAGGATGGATTCACCTGTCCTTAGAAATAAAATACAAATGTTGTGGGAGGATATTCTCTGTCTTCTAATTTCTTATAAGTCCAATTATCTCAAGCCATCTAATACTCAACTATGACTCAAGCCTTCATATTTCTCAAGAAGAATGACCCTCCTCATGAATTCCCTCCCAGACATGTCTGGAACAAAGACAGTTTCCAAAAAGTGTTAGATGAACTGCCCTTGTTGTCCAACTCTCCTGACACAGGATAGCAGTGAATGTATATAAGACACAAAGGGCTGAGACACTGTATCTCTCAACACATCTCCCCTACAAAAAAAACTGATGAAAACTGTAACAGGCTTTCAGGGAAGTCTTGAGTTTGTAAAGATATTTATTTTTCCCTACATCTCCCGTGTAAACCAAGGAGATACCTGTGACTGAAGGCTTCTATAAATTTGTAGAGTAAATCTCAAGGTGAGTCAAATTCCAGTATGGTTCTTTATATGACAACTGATGATCTTTTCACAGAAAGTTCTCTTACAGTGATGACAATTATGCAGTAATTCTTCATTATGAATTCTTAGATAGCACGTGAGCTTTTTCTTTTGGTCAAATCCAAATGTCTTTTTCTAGCACAAGTTCTTTAATGGTGATGCAAGTGGTTTGCCTTCTGCATTTCTCTCTGTTATGAGTCCCTCTGTTACGGGTGAGGGGTGGCTGAAGGCACCTGACATTCACTGCACTCAAAGGGTTTCTCCCCAGTGTTGTGCATTTAGTTAAGGAAGAGCTGGCAAAAATAAACTTCCCAACATTCCTAGTACTCAGAGGGTGGGTTCCTCCAGTATGGGTCCCATCAGGAGGGAAGGAGAAGCAGTAGATGAAGTCCTTTCTATGGTCACTGAACCAATAGGGCTTCTCTCAAGTATGGACCCGCTGGTGCTGTAGAAGGTGTGACCTGCGTTTGAAGGCCTTGCCACACTCAATGCACTTGTAGGGCATCTCCCCAGTGTGGATGACAGAGTGCTGAATGAGGTATGTGCTCCGATGAAATGCTTTACCACACTGGGTGCATTCATAGGGCTTCTCCCCAGTGTGAATCCGCTGGTGCTGCATGAGCTCTGAGCTGCATCTGAAGGCTTTTCCACACTCCATGCAATCATAGGGCTTCTCTCCAGTGTGGATGATGTAGTGTTGAATTAGGTGTGCCCTGTTGCTAAAGGCTTTACCACATTCTTTGCACTCAAAGGGTTTTTCTCCAGTGTGGGTCCTATTATGGCGAATAAAAGTAGAGCGGTGAGTGAAGGCTTTTCGACACTGACTGCACTCATAGGGCTTTTCTCCAGTGTGGATCGGATGGTGCTGCATGAGGTATGACCTGCGTTTGAAGGCCTTCCCACATTCTAGGCACTTGTATGGTTTCTCCCCAGTGTGGATTAGGTAGTGCCGAAGGAGAGTTGAGCTCTGGCTAAAAGCTTTCCCACATGCATTGCATTCATATGGCCTCATTCCAGTGTGAACCCGCTGATGTCGTACAAGATACCACTTACGGCTAAAACATTTCCCACACTGCTTGCATTTGTAGGGGTTTGTCCTGGCATGAACCAAGGTGTCTTTCCTTGTTTGCTGTGAGTCATGTTCAAGGAGAATATCTCCGAGAGATACCCTACAGTGCAGATTATCATATGTCCCCAGACCTTCATCTTCAAGGCTCATTTTCTCAGGATAGGTCTCCTTGTGAGGGTCTGTCCCTGGCTTCACTTGACCTTTCTGCATTTCCAAAAGCCCTCCCTGTTCCCTGGACTTCCTCAATCTGGAGTCCTTTGACAATCCCAGAGTCAGACTTCCCTGGAGAAAGGCTTCCTCAGATAAGACTGGCAGACGAGGGGTTGGCTCTCTGGTCTGAAGTTGTACTCTTTCACCTGAAGGAATCCAGTACACAAAGGAGGGGACCTTCAGTGATATAATACAGCAGAAAAAAGTGATAAAATAAGGACAAAGATAGTAACTCTGACACTTGCTGCATTTTTATATCTCCATAACCAATGTTTCCAAATACTTTTCATGGTCCTTGTACCCTGGATATCATTAAAGGGAAAATATGGAACACAGGCTGGACCAGGGAATAGAAAATCTGAAGTGGAGATGCCCCTCTTAACAGTTCAGAGTACAGAAGGGAGGACACAGTTTTGATGACACTGTCTGAAGGGCATTTGCTCCAAATAATGATGCATCCTGGTGCTATGGAAGTAAAGGGAAGCAGCACCTAACAAGTTTGGGAAGAAAAAGAGGTAATGGAAGGCCTCCTAGGAGTTGTCCCATGAATTGGATCCTAATGGAGAAGCCAGAGTAGTTGCCAATTAGAGGAAGTAGGCATTGGGGTGAACGTGAGGGAGTAAAAATAGGCAGATTTGCTCTTGGAGAATACTTAAGAGTTAAAAGAAAAGGCTACCAGATACCTATGAAACCAACATGAAAGGAGTGATCAGAGTTAGAGAAAGAGAATGAAAACGCCAGCAAAAAGTGATAAAAGGGTATGAACACACATACATATATCAGACTTTTTTTTTTTTTTGTAACCTTTGGTAGGGTACCGTGACATTACAGCTCATAGCAACCTCCAACTCTGGACTTCAGCGATTCTCTTGCCTCAGCCTCCCAAGGAGCTGGGACTACAGGTGTCCACCACAATGCCTAGCTATTTGTTGTTGTTGTTGTCATTGTTTAGCAGGCCTGAGCCAGATTCAAACCTGCCAGCCTCAGTGTATGTGGCCAGCGCCCTAACCCCTGAGCCATGGGCGCCAAGCCCATATATCAGATTATTATTTTAAATAAAAAAATATGGAAGTGAATACATCTCTTCCAAAAATGAGACAACTCTAAGGAACTTGGCTTTATAAGTAAAAACAACTTGAAGGCTCTTGTAGATAAAAAGCATTTGGGTATTTTTCTCCATATGTAAGCAACTTGAGCACATTTTTATGTAGAGTATAGAAAGGATGAAGATACAGATAAGAAAGAAAATGAAAACCAAGTTCCCTGAGAACACAGTGGGAGGGTATAGGCATTGGTCGAGAAACTAGCCATGGTTAGGTGCAAGATCTCCTCCATAGAGGACAAGAAGGAAAGCCACAGGTATGAGACAGATAAAGATAAATCTTTTAAGAGTTTAGAAACAAGGCGGTGCCCATATAGCTCAGTGAGTAGGACGCCAGCCACATACACTGAGGCTGGCAGGTTCGAGCCTGGCCTGTCCCTGCTGAACAACAATGACAACTGCAACCAAAAAAAAGCCAGGCCTTGTGGCGGGCACCTATAGTCCCAGCTACTAGGTAATGCTGAGGCAAGAGAATCACTTAGGCCCAAGAGTTTGAGGTTGATGTGAGCTGTGACACCACAGCACTCTACCGAGGGCAACATAGTAAGACTCTGCCTCAAAAAAAAAAAGGTTAGGAATAAGAAACATGTATGTACACAGCCTTTATTTTTAATATAAATTTAATTATACATTGGGACTTCAGTTGCTGAGGAAGTAGTGAGCATGTCTGAGGTTACAGCAGCCAATGCAGGGAAGAGAACTGCCCAGTGCACAGAGCAGATGGGGACTGGGGTGATGGATGCTAGGTTAGATGAAGCTGGAGAAGCCCAGGAACTGTTTGGGGGGTTTCTACACTTCTAACCTGGTTGGATGGCAGGACGTTATCTGAACCAGGAGTTGAAGGTGCCTCTGAGACACTTAAGTGAAGATGTAGAATTGAGGAGATAGGGAAGGAAGTATTTGGAACACAAAAGGTTAGAGGTAGGGCTGGTCAAGAAGGCTGAGGAACCACAAGAAAGGAAAGTCCACACTCAGCAGTAATGCCAATCCACTAGGTGGATCACTCTAGCTACACTCATCAACACAGAAATGGGGGAGAAAAGGCCAAATGCCACTGTGGTATCTTTCAGGGGAGAAGGGAAGGAAAATATAGTACAAGGGGCTACTCTGAGTGATGTTCAATAAGGATGGATAAATAGATTAAGAAAGAGGAAGAGTGGGATCCATAGTATAGTATGGATAGTAATATCAAAAGACAAAAGGTTCCTTTCCCCTGAGCTTAGAAGGGAATGTGTGATATTACTTTTATTCATTATAATTAATACTGTTACAATAGTAATATTAACAACTGGCTTTTGTTGACACTACAGGACAGGCACTGACCTAGGCAGTGCTGTGCATAATCTCATTACATTCTCAGACAACTCAATGACACAGAAATTATCACCACTCTGACATTTTTGAGTACAGTAGCCTGACATGACATAAACCAAACCTATTTGCTCTTCTTGGGCACACAGCCAAACGACATTTCCCAATCCTGAGCATTCAGGTGTGACCAAATGCCTAGTTCTTGAAGTTTATATCATGCAGTTTGACACAGAAATTCAGAGGCAGTGGCCCCCCTCACTCTCTGAAGGCTACCATGAACACACCTAACCAGTGGGTGGCTCCTACCTGCACAGGTGCTGTGGGAAGGGCCTCTCTTCACTGTCCACAGCTCCTGTCCATGCTCGAGCAGATGGATCAGCTCTGGTTTGGGAACCTGATGCCCTGTTGGTGGCAAAAGAAAGTACAGGGGTAATTTGATGAGAAGAATAAAATCTCTCCATCCCTTCTGTGACTTCTTAACAGGGGAATAACATAAATGTGGGCAAAATGCTGATGTAAGAACCAAGGGCACTGTATGAAGTGAATTGTGTTCCCCCCAAAAGTCATGCATTGAAGCCCTAATCCCCAGTACTGAATCTGGAGAATGGGTCCTTATGAGGTAATTAAGATTAAATGAGGTCATACGGGTAGGGCACTAATCTGACAGATCTTCTAAGAAAAGGAAAAGAGATCTCTCCTCTCTCAACTCTCCACCATGTCGGGTCACAGCAAGAAAGAGGCCATCTGCAAGCCAGGAAGAGGCCTTACCAGGAACTGAATTAGCCAGCACCTTGATCTTAGATTTCCTAGCCTCCAGAACTGTGAGAAAATGAATTCCTGTTCTTTAAGCCACTCAGTTGCCCAAACTTTGTTTAGGCAACCAAGTAGATGAAGATAGGCACAAATCCTGTTCTTGAGCTGCAACTACTATAGAGTGAAGTACTGTCTACACAACACCCGTGGCCCTTGACCTCCATTTATGGAGGACAAACTGTTCAGGTGACCCATAGCCCTTGACCTCCATCTATAGAGGAGAACACTGTTCAGGTCACCCACTGCCCTTGACCTCTATTTATGGAGGCCAACACTGATCAGGGTACACACCACTGTCACAGCCATGGACCGACACAAAAGTGAGTTCCTGCCTTCTGAAGGCATGTTCTAATTCAGGCGTCCTCAAACTACAGCCCGTGGGCCACATGCAGCCCACCTAGGACATTTATCTGGCCCGCTGGGTGTTTTTGCTGCCGCTGCCTGTCCTGTTAGCAGCCAACTTGTCCCAGGACCCACAGTCCAGTCCTCCAACGGTCTGAGGGACAGTGAACTGACCCCCAGTTTAAAAAGTTTGAGGACCCCTGTTCTAATTAGTCTAAATCATTGGTTCTCAAATACTCTGTGCTTCAGTACCACCTGAGGATGCCTGATTGCAACCTCAAGCCAAACCATACAAAATATATTGGGGTGAGGCCTGAGTGCCAATACTTTTGAAAAGTCTTCCCATACTAAGCTAGTACACAGGGTTAAAAACCACTGGCTGAAATAAATTGGTAAATGACATCCCTCATCATCAGCAGTCTGAGATAGGGAGGTGACCTAAGTTGGGTTCTCCTTTCTCTTCCGAAAACCTTTGTTCTGGGTGGAAAGAGATGGGTGAACCCCAGTCATGGCTATAGTATTCTGCATCCCTGTGAGAAGTGTCCTGAAGTGGTCAGGCTTCCATCTGACCAGTGAGGAGTAGCAGAGAACTGTGACATCCTTCATGACATCACTGGACTGCTGCATCCAAAAAGCCTGAGTCACCCATACCTCAGTTTCTCTTTAGGTTTGGTAGTGAATTTTCTTCCAGGTGAAGCCAGTTTGATCTGGTTTTCTAGATGTGGGGAGTAAGAAACTGGAAGGTTCTATATAGTAGACCAATGATTGAGGCATAAAGACCCACAGAAATATCAAGTGGCAGATTCTGATCCACAGCCCAGGCTCCTTCAGACACATCTCAGTAAGTTTCATCAGTGTGTGCTACATCCCTGCTGTCAGCTCCAGGATGAGGCTGTGGAAAAGGTGAATCAGACATTCCTTAGGCTCCACCAGGAGTTCAGCTTCCTGTCATTCTTCACATGTTGGCTCTTCTACCTAGAACACTGTTCCCCTCCTCCACCTCCAGTAACTCTGACTCACCTTTCAAGTTTCAGCTCCACTGTCACTTCCTAAGGTGTCCTTTGAAGTACCCAGGATAGGTTGTGGCTCCCTGGTATTTCCCCCTAAATTCCCCTAATTTTTATTTCTATAATTCATTTTTTTTTGGTAATACAACTTTTATTTTATAATGGTCAGATGGCTATTTATAATACATAATTAAAATATTTAGTAAAATT